AAGCTTTCCCAGCCAGCCCCACTCCCTAATGCTTCTCTACTCCCAAAGCACCTTAGAGAGAGACCTCTGAACTGTTAGTTGTTTGTAAACTCTCCTGGGTCTGTGAGTTGCCTTAAGGCCTGGCCTTTTGAAGTTTCTGGTTTAGTCTTGCATCCTCAATGCCAACACAGTGAACAATTGTTTAGGTGCTTAAATGGCACGTACTGTAAAATACTATAGGTATTAGCACAGTTAATGTGCTACGGAAACATTCTTATTATTCAGTCCAACTGCATGGGCTTCTGGAAGCACCATGTTCTTAACTGACTCTTCTAAAGTGACAAACGGTAAAGAACCTTTCGTTCATGTGCGGTTTCTGACTCTCATATATGAAGGGTTCCCATATATATGTTTGCATTAAATTTGGTTATTCTCTCTTGCTAAATAAATATAAATTGGCAAACAGTACAGTTCCACGCAGAAGCTAAATAAAGTCACTGGTGTAAAAGCACTCTAAAACTCACAATGCTTCAGATACATAGGTGATTTCATCCTTCCATTATCATGATGAAAATATAAATGGGTGAATTATAAAAGTAAGAAGTATTGTGTCATCTTTTCAAAAGCAACGCACTAAGAACTAGGCAAAAATCAAACCAAATACAATATTTGAAATGTCAGATTAATGAGAGCAAAATGGGAAGCATTTTCTTTAAGCAGAGCCTGAATGTGATGTGTGGGAGAACTTCGCAGAATGACAATTATTTATCGAGCAAATGTGTGGGGGTCACAGCAGAATGTGGCATGTGGCAAGTATACCAACGAAACTCCGATTATATTATACAACAAAGTTGTTGTGGCAGAAGCAGGGGGTACAATATTTCACCCTTCAGAGAAGAAAGCCACCTCTCCTGACAGACTACAGCTTGCCAAGGGGGAAAAAACTCTACAAAATACTCTTCTCCAACCTAAAATGAGTGACAGGATCATTTCATAGCCCACAATATTTAAAGTATGGCTGGCATGTCATGAATGTTTATAGTCATTTTAAGAACATTTTAGTTATGGTAAATATTTCTTTGTAGCTGCGTTCCTTTTTTTAAAACTTCACTGAGATATAATTCATATTATACATTTTGCCTTAGAGTGTACAATTCAATGGCTTTTTAATATATTCTCAAAGCTGTACTGCCATCGCCAAAATCAATGTAGAACATTTTCATCACCTCCCTACCCCACCCCGCCCCCCAAAAAATACTCATTAGCAGTCACTCTTCATTTCCCTCCAAATCCGTTAGCCCTAGGGGAGCCACCAATTCACTTTGTCTTCTGATCTGCCTATTCTGGATGTTTCATATAAATGGAATCATATAATATGTGGTCTTTTGCGACTGGTTTCACTTAGCATACTGTTTTTAAGGTTTATCCGCACTGCAGCATGTACTGGTTCTTCATTCCATTTTATTGCCAAGTCATATTTTGTTGTACGGATATACTGCATTTTATCTATTCACTAATCAGTTAGTAAACATTTGGGTTATTTCTATTTTTTGGCTAGTATAAATGATGCTGCTATGAACATCCACACACAAACTTTTATATAGACATAGGTTTTCATTTTTTTGCATATACAGCTAGGAGAATTTCTGGGACATACTTTTTGAAAACCTAACAAACTGTTTTCTAAAGCAGTTATATCACTTCAAATTCCTACCACCAGTGTATGAGAGTTCCAATTCCTCCACATCCTCACTAACACTTGTTATTATCTGACTTTTTCATAGCCCTCTTAGTGGGTATGAAGTAGTATCTCATTGTGGTTTTGAGTTGCATTTCCCTGATGGCTTTTATGTTAGGTATCTTATGAAGTGTTTATTGGCCACCTGTATATTTTCTTTGAAGAAATGTCTAATTCAGATCTTTTGCCTATTTTTTATTTGGGTTATCTTTTGAGTTACAAGAATTCTTCGTATATTCTGGATTAAAGTCCCTTATAAGACATATCATTTGCAAGTATTTTCTCTATTCTGTGTACTGTCTCCTCACTTTTTTGGCAGGTGTTCTTAAATGCCACTTCTTAGTTAAGATAGTCAAAGTAACCCTTCAGTGAATTGAGGGGAGGAAAAAGAAACCCATATCCATCTACCCATTGATAATAAAAGCGGCAATGGCTAACTGGACGGGGACACACACACACACACTCTCTCTCTCTCTCTCTCTCTCTCTCTCTCTCTCTCTCTCTCTCTCTCTCTCTCCCCCCTTCATTCTCAGTAATAAATTCTCCAAGTATTAGAACAGCACATGGATGTCTAGAAACAAAAGACAACAATTTCCCAGGCTTCCTTTCAACTGCATGTAACCATACAACTCCATTCGGGCCAATAGTATGTGAGCAAAAGTGGCACGTGCAACCTCTGGAAAGTGTTCCCACCACAAAAGACAGTGCCATATGATAAACTGGAGCAGACGTCCTGGGCCTAAAGTGACTAGGAAGGCAAACCATACACAACAGAGCAGGAATTGACACCAAGAAGCATTATCGACCCCTACCTGACCACCTCTGGCTTCCTGAGAAAAAGAGTAAACTTTTACACTGTTTAAACCACCTTATTTTGAGCTTTTGTTACATGCAACCAAATCTGACCTAAATTCCTGCAACAATTCAAGTGAAAGCTCTGTATTTACATCTACAAAGATCAAATGCAAGCCCGGGCTCCATTCTGCAGTTTATGAAGTATGACCTATTGCCACAATGTTTCCTGACTACTTTTCCAACACAAGGGGAAAAAAAGAAATAGCAACAATACCAGAAGACAAAAATATATTCATAGTAAACATATGCAATCAATTGTGAAACTGCTATATGAAGGTACCCAATAGGAATTCTGTACAAACTCCATCAGAAACTTATTTACAATACAATACCCACGTGCTCCAAATGGGCCCCGCGTTTGTTTTTGTTAAGCAGAATGGATAGCAGAATCCGGAGCTCACAGTACTGCAGTGTGGTAAGGAAGCTGCCTGACTGAATCTAATCCCAGTTCTGTCTCTTCTAAACACAATAATTCAATTTCATTTAATCCAGCACAAATTGGTGAATGCCCATCATACACAAACCACTCCATTTGGTACTTCAGTACCAAATAATACTAAGATGGGGTTCCTACCCTCACTGAATTCATAATCTAATAGACAAGGAACAAATTACCTACAATTCCCAGTAGTCTACTTGGCCAGGCATCAGGGAAATAGACAAGAGCCTAACTTATTCAAACTTTTCACTAAATGATATCTTCAAAGCCCCAGAAATAAGGTAGAGACCTCGAAGTACACTCACTGGCCCCCTCCAGACTTACTCTGAAAATGGGAGACCGACAGTAACATTCTAACAGGGTGGCAGGAACCCAAGGGCTCCCACAAACACTGTCCATCAGTAACGTCAAACCCGGACAGATGTGTCCCTACTTAGAAATTAAGAAATTAAACAAGGACAAGAGGAGTCTGTAATTCAACTGAAAAGCGGGGTGATCCTAAAGATTCAAGGAGACACATAAATGAAGAAAGTTTTTAGAAGAAGACTTACAATTAGCATGTATTATTTTGAAAAAAAAAAAAAATTATATACTAGTATTTATACGATCAGATTGAATTAATATACCTATGTAATATGGATTCCATAAAGAAAGTATACCTTTTTTCTTTCCAAAAATTTCCAAGGAAAAAATATCTCCCACCTCTGCACTGTTCAAAATGTCTGTTAGCTACCCCAGAAGCAAAACTGAAGTAAGCAGCAAAATAAAAGAACCTAAAGCTCAGGAAAGAAAAATTTAGGTAGAGATAATAACTTTGGGAGTTACCAACATACGGATGACACTTAAAGTCATGGGGCTGGACAAGACCACAAGGTTAGGGTTAGAGAGAAGAGATCGAAGGACTGAGCTCCACTATCAAGAGATGTGGGAAATGAGGCAAAGGAGTCTAAAAAATGAAAGGCCAATGGGGTGGCAGAGAAAACAGGCGGGTGTGATATCTGTGATCCAAGCGAAGCAAGAGTATCATGGAAGAGATGAGACAGTAGCTGGCCACCTCAGATGCTACTGCCTAGTGTATCACATGGAGATGACATTCGGCACCCTATCTTGATGCTTCAGGGCACATCTTTATGCACCTGGCCTTTAATCCATTAACTGGAAAGTCAAGCATAGACCTTCCCTCTCTGTACCAACCCCACTGACTCAGTTACATCATCTAAGGGAAGTGGAAGTATTAATTATTTTTGTATTCTTGGGTCCTGACCTAAAATGAGGTACTGTTTTTTAAAAAAAATCTCATATTATACAAATTTGAAACAGCTTTTTCTAAAAAATCAGGGCTTACGCAAAATTATCATGATGTTAGCCATTAAAGAAAAAAAAAATAACATCAATTTTGCTTGGTGCTACAAGAAGACACAGAAATAACTGCCAGATAAGAATACTGACAGGTGAACTTCTTTTCTTACTTCCTTCTAACTTAGATTCTTTTATAACTAAATAACTGAAAGTCACAGAATAAGGAAAACACTAGTCTTTTAATAAACGGAGTATGCCTACGACCCTCCCTCACATACAAAGTATATACACTGAAAATTCCCACACGCAATAATGAATATTGTTCTGCATTAACATCCGCCATCATCTCTTTTTAGCTCTGTCGTCCCTTCCGCCACTTTTACTTATTATTCTTTTAATGTCACATATTAGGCTTGGATCAACAATGAAGTGCTCCGAGGTTAACTTTCAGTGGAAATCACTGGTTAGAATGACTCCAAACATCATCCGAGATCACGCTATCACCTCACAGTTTGGTCATAGTGACCAAAGCTAAACAACTCGCAGTGAATCACACACAGCCTGGAAATGTAACTAGATAACATGCTTCCAGATCTTGGAAACCTCAGTTGCAATTTACTTCTATATTTTTAAAATCATTTTTTTTTAAAAATGACTCTTTCATGAAGTGTAATAGTTTCCATCACTTACCGATCAGCAGCTTCTACATCAAAACAAAACCTTCTGTCAATGGAGTCAGTATGCCTTTTGGTACATTCTTTCAAAAAGATCACCTCTCCATCTCCCTGCAAATAATCATTTTGAACATTCTCAAAAATGGCAGTATAAACATAGAAACACTGAGGCATCCTATAAGTCCCTTTATCCTTGTCTCTTTCGAACTCATTTATTTAAACACCACTGGACTCTTACCCATTTTTGCCTTCTCCTCACAGTTTTCCAGATCCTGCTTGAAGACAGTAACATTAAACCAGACCTCATGAGCACTAATTTTAAAAGCCGGGTTAACAGTGTCCGCATGCTAGAACATTTGTTATGTTCTTATTGTACTCTTTTAAAAAAAAGAATAATAATTTATTTTTATTTCATGTTACATTATACCATATGAAACAGCCAGCATGTGACCTACAAAATCTACCTGAAAGTACACTAAGGGTTTTGGATCAGCTATCGTGATAATCCAAAGCTAGAGCCCTTCAATCTATGTGGTTCTTCCATTTCCTAAGCTAGCACCACTCTGAATTACACTTTCTTAAAATTTTTATGGTATCATTTTACTTCGCCAAACCATCTTCTCTAAAAGCACTAAAAAGGGGTAGAAGATGGGAGAGAGAAGCACTGCAGGAACACAGGCCCTCAATAAAGAACTGTTAAGAAGTCTAAGTACACACTTCCAGAATATTTTAATATTTTTCTAGGATATGGGGGATCTTCAGATAATATTAAAAAACATTCAAATATACAAATATTCAAAGTATCACAGTCATTATATTCTAACATGTATTTTTTATTATTTGGTGGCTAAAACAGAAAGATATCACTAAGCAGACATATCTCAGGACTTGAGTTACCTGACAGGAAACAAACTCAAACTTCACGCTCACTCTTAACCCCATCAGCCTTCAAGAGTCACATGCTCAGCTTCATTATTACGAAAATGTACAAGTATTATAGCTGCTTGAAATATTTTTTTTCAGGAAGATACAAAGTATACTTAAATAGATAAGAACTTGGTTTAGTTCTCTATCCACATAGGCAAAATTATGCCTGTCCACCCAGCAAGCACAGAATTAACCTTCTTTCTTAAAATGTGTTACCAATGATGTTTAACACTGGTGGGAAGAGCTTTGTCCGCAGACTGCTGATTATTGTTATAAGCTGCAGCTTCTATTTAAAACACATATAAAGATCACCTTTCCCACATGGCTAACACCTGTGGCTTCTTGCTGTTTCCTTGCTATCACGCATTATTTTGCTATTTATTTCTACAGGAGGAGTGAACTAAATGGGGAATACCTATGTGAGAATTTTGAAAGTCTAAATGAAAATCATTATAGCTCATCTACTCTATAGTGTTTTCAGGGAATGAATATGTGTGTGCACATCAGACCTTCTGTGTAAATACTGACTTGATAAGACCACTGAGTCATGAAAGCCTGCTGTAGGTATAAATTTTATCTTCCAACAACAATGATATAAAAGGATTCTACTCTCCTCTTAAAAAAATCTGACCATAAACATGCACTCACGTCAAAAAACAGGTATCAATTTTCTGGCTTATTTTATTTAGAAACAAAAGAGAACGACTTTAATCCTAAAAACAAAATAAAATGTATTTTTCATTAGTAAATATAAATACCATTTAAAAGACACCCTCAATAACTACCTCACATACCATACAGAGTGTAAAATCAAATACTTACAAGTTTCCCTCCAGATCTGTGTTCAAATGGGATCATGTTGAATTTCTTGGCTGCTTTCCGGTACATACAGTAGTGTTTGACCCAACTGGAACCAAATGGAGCAGGCCCTGCCAACAAAAAAATAGAACTTTCTATTTTTCCTCATAAACGAGCAAATATGCAGAGTACCAAACACATTGCTAAAGAGGAAAAACCCAATAAAAAGCAACTTAGACAGTTCAAGGAAGCAAATCAGCAACACTGCTAGTTCTAACAAAAGGGAAAAACTAGGGGATAGGAGGAGGCTCGCAGGGATCATTTGAGAAAAGGTCCTATTAGTTTTCAGCAACAGAAAGTGACTTAAAGACATACTTTTCAAACAATATACTGGACCATTATCTCATATCTGAAAATCTCTTAAGTGTAAGTTATATTTTTTAGTTCGAGCTCATGAGAGATTCAAAAATTCAGTTCAACATATGTGATCATTTTGGATTCGTTTCTGGCCTCTCCAAATGACAGAATTTTAGAATCACAGTCCTGTAAAAGAGCATCTAGTCTAGAAATCCACCTAATTGCTTTAAGCCCACTCTAGTTCCCAGGGAAGCGGCTGCCCTTACTGATGATGGCAAAGGTAAGCTTTAAAGGGAAGTATGACAAATATAGGCGTGAGCTGTCCACTTATGCGCCAGAACATTCCCAGAACCACTTCTGACCCCTTGCTAAGTCTTTATTGCAACCATCAGAGCTCTTAAAAGACAACAGCCAACCTCAAGGGGGCCTAGTATCTAGAATTGCAAGTGTCAGTAAAGGTTTAATCATAACAAAACAAAGGTGAGGCCCAAGAGAGGTTGACTTCTTATCTTTTACCAAGTAAAGAAGTTGTTTTAAAAAAGCAATTAATATCTATTATCACCATCATTTCAACTAAAAACAAACAAAGCTTCTAGACCTAAAAATCAAGAAGGACAAACTCAGGAGGAAAAAGGACTCATTTACAAAAAAGGCATTTAGCTGTAGGAAAGGCTAATTACATTATCTTTGAGGTCTAAGAGATAAAAGCAATTCCTAGACCACAATGAATCTTATCTCAGACCATCATTAGTCTACAGATCAGAATTAGAGAACCACTGGCTGGGAGGGGGTGCTATCAACAGCTAGTATTTGTATCCTGTTCTATGGTTCACAAAAACATTGCATAGATATTTCATTCAATACTAAGAAAAAAACCTTGAGAAGGAGATGATATACTGTTATTTTAATCTTAAAAAAAAAAAAAAAAAGTTAAGCTTTGACCAAGTGCCTGAGAATTAACAAAGCCAAACCTTGAATCAGTCACTGACCCCAAATATCAAGGTCTTCACACTATAAGCTGCCATCCCCTCCTGATACCCATCTGACCCTATGTAGTCAACCAATTCTGAGCCTAAAGGCTAATGATGCTTTTCCCACCCAAGCTCCAGGCAATATTGCAGGAGAAGGTACAACAAAGACTCCAGTGTCAGAGTAACAATTCCAGCATCTAGGAGTTGTAGGATCCAGGGAACATTATTTAACTCTTAGTGCTTCTGTTTTCTCATTGGTAAATGGGATAACAAAAGTACCTTATTCATAAGATTTTTTAATGGATTAAATGAGACACAAGTTATATAAGGAACTTAGCACATTGCTTGGCATAGTTAACAAGTGAATAAGTTTGACACTATTGTTTGTGTTGCTTTTTCTGTCCAATTTCGGCTCCACTCCTCTCAAAGCCAAAATGTTTAGAGAATGATGAATCCAAAAATTAAAGTTTCCTGTGATTTTTTCACTTGGGCATAGAATACAAAATTTCTATCCTTCTTATGTCTCTACCCTATATTTTAACTTAATTAACATTCCCAGAACCACTTCTGACCCCTTGCTAAGTCTTTATTGCAACCATCAGAGCTCTTAAAAGACAACAGCCAACCTCAAGGGGGCCTAGTATCTAGAATTGCAAGTGTCAGTAAAGGTTTAATCATAACAAAACAAAGGTGAGGCCCAAGAGAGGTTGACTTCTTATCTTTTACCAAGTAAAGAAGTTGTTTTAAAAAAGCAATTAATATCTATTATCACCATCATTTCAACTAAAAACAAACAAAGCTTCTAGACCTAAAAATCAAGAAGGACAAACTCAGGAGGAAAAAGGACTCATTTACAAAAAAGGCATTTAGCTGTAGGAAAGGCTAATTACATTATCTTTGAGGTCTAAGAGATAAAAGCAATTCCTAGACCACAATGAATCTTATCTCAGACCATCATTAGTCTACAGATCAGAATTAGAGAACCACTGGCTGGGAGGGGGTGCTATCAACAGCTAGTATTTGTATCCTGTTCTATGGTTCACAAAAACATTGCATAGATATTTCATTCAATACTAAGAAAAAAACCTTGAGAAGGAGATGATATACTGTTATTTTAATCTTAAAAAAAAAAAAAAAAAAGTTAAGCTTTGACCAAGTGCCTGAGAATTAACAAAGCCAAACCTTGAATCAGTCACTGACCCCAAATATCAAGGTCTTCACACTATAAGCTGCCATCCCCTCCTGATACCCATCTGACCCTATGTAGTCAACCAATTCTGAGCCTAAAGGCTAATGATGCTTTTCCCACCCAAGCTCCAGGCAATATTGCAGGAGAAGGTACAACAAAGACTCCAGTGTCAGAGTAACAATTCCAGCATCTAAGAGTTGTAGGATCCAGGGAACATTATTTAACTCTTAGTGCTTCTGTTTTCTCATTGGTAAATGGGATAACAAAAGTACCTTATTCATAAGATTTTTTAATGGATTAAATGAGACACAAGTTATATAAGGAACTTAGCACATTGCTTGGCATAGTTAACAAGTGAATAAGTTTGACACTATTGTTTGTGTTGCTTTTTCTGTCCAATTTCGGCTCCACTCCTCTCAAAGCCAAAATGTTTAGAGAATGATGAATCCAAAAATTAAAGTTTCCTGTGATTTTTTCACTTGGGCATAGAATACAAAATTTCTATCCTTCTTATGTCTCTACCCTATATTTTAACTTAATTCTTTCAAGTTCAATAAGCTGAATTAAAAAGATAAAGTATCAGAAAAATTCAGAGCTCTGCTATGTTCATAACTGCTCTACATGACACCATGACAGCCCAGATTAAGGGCAAATGGAAAAAGAATCCCATTCTGCTGACTGCATACAACATTAACTTTTATTCAAAGCACATACATCACATAGCTATTTCATGAGTACTCTCTGCTGCTAAACTGGTCAGTTTGAAAGTCTGTAAATCAGCCACACTTAACAAATAAAATGAAAACCGTAAAGCATCCTGACTGAAGTCAAGGGTGGGAGGGGAGGCTCATGGTAAACATAGAAACATTTGCACATTCTGCTCCTTTCTACTAACTAGTAATCAAGTTCTACAGTTGAAGACAAACTTTAAGCCTAACTGTTAAAACCAAATTGTCAAAAGTTTGAAAGAGTTTTGGGGTGCCTTAAATTCAAAATAAGGACATCTGCACTGCATATTCACTAAAACACAACTTATAAAAACTATATAAGTTAGAATGCCATCTAGGAATTATTTTTTTTTGCCATCTGCAATCAACCTGATAGTTATAATAAGAACTGACTCTCACACTGGTGTGGAAAGAAAGGATGTGAAGGAAGAAGAGAAAGATGCCCGACTTTAACCGGAGAAGGAGGGTCACGGGCAGGGGGATGATGGGAGGGTGTGCATATGTAGTATGCTCTGTTTTACACCATTTCATATAACAGACTTCAGCATCTGAGGATTTTGGTATCTGCTGGGGTCCTGGAACCAATCCCCCCAGGATACTGAGGGACAACTGTATGTGAGTGTGTGTGTGTTGGTGATAAGACAGGGGTGAGGAGAGAGAAGGAAAAGCAAATACTCCACCTCGCTTTCAGCCTTATGCCTAGTGCTGGCTCCCTTACAAACAGGCTTTAACAAAGTGTGGTCCCGAATGAGTGTGTGTGGCTAGGAAGCTGGGCACTCACAGAGTTCCTAACCTCACTGCTCTCTCCCCAAAGCAGACGGGTGTTTTTCCCCCAAAATGCAAACTATGCCTTCTAGGATCAGAGCGAGGCAAAGAAAGTGGTAGGAACGATTATTCCAAAAATATCAGAGTAATTACAATAAAAGGTTTTAAAATAATTTTCAGTGAGTCATTCATTACTATTGGTGGCCTCTTACTTTTCTCCTGTACATACAGGTAGCCTTCTGCTGTGAACTGACTTGCTCGTTTGTGGTCCTTTGGATTCTGTCTGATTTTATTCATAAGGTCTTCCACTTCCGACCTGGTTCCTTCAAAACGATTCCGCGTCTGAGAGAGATTGAAAAACGCATGTAAGTGTTGAGTTCACACGGGATTTTGTTCATATATATTTTCTAGATAACTATAATTAAACCTGTAGCATTTTTCTATAAATTTCTCAAAATATATCCATCCTTTCTAGTGTGTACCTTTGTTGAGAAGAGAAAAAAGAACAGTGGTAAAATAGCAAATAGAAGAGTCAAGACTAGAGGATTTTACTTTTTACTAGAGGTTTTTACTTTTGAAGCTTGTTAAGACCAAGAATAATTCTATCATTCAATGTAGGAATCCCTGAGTCCACATTACACAATATTACTAAATTTTAGAATTGAAAAAAAAAAAAAGAGGAATCCCTGAGTCCACATCACACAATATTACTAAATTTTAGAATTTAAAAAAAAAAAAAAATAGGCCATAAAATATCCATCTGGGAAGTCTTTCCTTTGCAACAATCAATCTGATTCATTATTACTATTATATTAGCAACACGCCTAAGTGCATGGAATCTGAAAAACTTAATTCTTTTAAACTAACAAATATGAGTTTTTTCGAAGTCATGGCAATTGCACTTGAAAATAACATTTCTTCTCACAAAATGGAAAGGGGAAGGAGGAAATCTCACCTACAAATAATGTCTGATATCTGAAGAAACAAATCACATTTCTGAAACCTAGGAGACCTGGTTTGCCAACATCTCTGTCAAGTGGCTACACTGACAGCACATGCAAGGTGAAGTGACACAATGATACGCGTGACTGTGATGCATCAGCAGCAGGGAGTTTCTGGGCATCTCTTTCATCCATACTTGAAAGTAACTGTATTAATACTGAAAAAGTGCTGATGTGAAACTGTGGAGGAGTGGAGATGAAAAATTACTACTGAAATTTCTCCTCTCTCCTCCCTTATCATGAAAGGGGTTACCAAGGATCCGAAGAGCAGAAAAGTGGCAGAATGGCACATATTTTTTAGGGGGATGGAGAGTCTGATAGATGCAGATTGTAAAGGGGAAAACTTATCTGCAGAGACTTATTTTAAACATAAGCTGAGGTTTTTTTATAAAGATCTGCTTATATATTTTAAGAACTTACAGGGCTGCAGAGAGGTTGGAACTCATTTGCTGATGGCCCGTCCCCCATGTCTCATGTCTCCAGGGTTTCTTGTCCCCATGTTAATACTGATTATACCTTGATTTTATTCACTTTCTTTGTCACTTCCTCACTTCTTTCCATCTGTGCATGTGTGTTTTATACATATACATAGACATGTATGTGCATGTCATGTGTGTGGAGATGTCCCCCCACACTTCTATTTAACCAATGAGTTGTATCCAATACTTTCATTATTTATGCTAATGTTTAAACTGTCCTAGATTTGACCAGCGGGGACCCTTCTCGCTGGCTCCTGTGTCTTTTGACATATCCCTTTAATTCTCTTGAGTAGTCCTCTACTTTCTGGTCCAAAAAGGAATCCCGGGTTTATCTTACACTTTTTCTCTGTTTTCATCCTAGAATCAACCACTTCTCCAAGGGAGCCCTTGTTTTTAGTGGAAAAGCCCTTCCTTTTTGTGGAATATTTAGAAACCAAGATCTGGGCACAGTGTGCTCACAGCTCATCCACAACATTAGAAAACAGAGAGAAGGAAGGGCACAAACAGTTCCTTTGGCCACAAAAAGAAACAATATAAAAAGACAAAAAGTGACCATAAACCCGCCTCTCATAAACAACCGCATTCGTGTTTTTACCCAATCGCTTCCAATCTCATTTTTTCCACATAGTTTATCATTTTGATGTTCTATTTTTCTCACATCACTGTAACAGAAATATTTGTGCACATTCTTAAAATCTTCTTAACCATTCTTAGTATTGTCTAGGGGTTCTTTATGAATCCAAAAATTTCTCCAATCATATTTTCTTCCAGGAAGAATTCTATTCTACTTTTTCCCCACGATCCTCTGAGGACAGAGATCACAGAAGTGTGTACAGTTAGTTTTTTAAATATCTTTTAATTTTGATAAAATTTACATTCTTTTAGAAATCTATTTTCTAAAACTCATCCTGCTTTTTTGCTTTCCATTTATTACTCTAGATTGTGGAAAATGGATGAAGATTCAATCTCTCTCAAAAAAAATCTAACCACTTTTACAATAGAAACCAGATGGCGAAAAATAGGTTGTTTTGCCTTTTAAATAACTTTCACCTTTTTTCTGATTATAACATAGTTTTGCTCTTTTTATTAGGGTAAAATACTAAAAAGTTGGCCAAAATTATCTATAATGTTATACTGCACAAATAGCTAACTCAAAGATTTGGTTTTAACATTTGCATATATTTCCTTAAATGCATAAATAGACAAAGCACAAAAAAATAACCCAGAACAGCACTATGTAGTTTTCCCTTTAACATGCTAAAAAGTGACATCGTCAGGGATGAGATGAATGGCCAAGATATGAGTAAGTTACAGCAATAATGAGGTACAGAAGGCGAGATAGAAGGAGTGACCTGTGTTTCTTCAAAGGTACTGGGATCCCTGAAGGGAGAATAGGCTAAAAGCCAAAATGAAGAGCCAAGAAGACACCTAGATCGAGTGTTCTCAAAACTGAAGGTGAGGTGGAAAAAAGAGCCTCTACTTGAAACAGCTGCAGGAGTGGCCTCAGGAACAGCCGGGACAAAATGAAAATGAAGGAGGATTTTTAGAAAAGAGATTAAGGACACAGGGCAATTTACTGGTGACAATTTTTAAGATCCAAAGGATATAGGAAAAGTGTTTTTTTGTTTTTTTTTGTTTTTTTAGTAAATTTTTCTTTATTCATTTCTCTACGGGAAATAAATGTTATCAAATGTGTGTGTTAAGTCCTTAATACAGTAAGGATATAAACTGGGTCCTTGAGTGAAAACCATTTTCAATAATAGCTTGTCTTCAAGTTTTACTTATAATATTTCGCAACCGAGTATTGCACATTCACACTGAAATTTTTAATCTCTCTAAAATTACTTTGGTGTATGTAAGGTAGCTATATCCGCCCCACCCCTATCCCCATAAGCAGGCTGTGCAGAGATAGTTTCACTGAAGACCCCAAGAGACACAGATTTGCCCCCCACCTCATTCCAGATGTTGAGGCAAAGCTGGCTTCACAGGCATGCAGTCTGTACAGTCACACAAGGCCCTATGCTCAGGTCACACACTTGGTTTAATGCTCTGCTGTCACTGTCCTCAAATGCTTCAGTTTTCAATAAGGAGCCCTGCCTTCTCATGTTATACTGACCCCACAATTATGGATCCAGGTCTGCCTGAAGGTTCTCATCCAGGCCAGTTCTGCACTTGACAGTTGAGGTCCAGACAGAAAAAGTCAATTTCCACAAGTTATACAGCCAGTAAATGGAGGGGGAAAAACTATGGATTATAATCTAATCTTCTAAACTATGTAATTTTTTATAGCACTGCTTTGCTGCCTAAGTATTCTGAAAATTCACAGCATCGTTAGACTAAATATTCTACTGCCTACAGTAGATAATTCTGAAGTTAAGACTGATCTCTGCATATACAGTTTGATATTTTTAAAACTCTATTACAGTCACTGATGGGGAAGACATACTCTTTTAGTCCTTTAATCCAGGTGACTGTCTAAACAATCTACAAATACAAACCGACACATGATTTACAAAAAAGAAGAGATTCCATTATCTACATTCCCAAGTGTAGGGAGCTGTATAGAAAATTCCTAGAAACAAAATCTATGCAAAAACCATTCAACTTCAATTTCTAAGATTTTAAGAAATTTAAAGTCAGGCAGAAAACAGCACAGAGATTCCCATACTTTTACTTGTATGTCTTTGAGTATGCACTAGAAGTTTGTGCCAAAACTCTCTCTGTATTTCTAATGAGGCCTAAAATTATACTGTATTTCTAATGAGGCCTAAAATTATACTAAACATAACCTGATAGCATTTCCATGAGGACACGTCCGAAATCAACTAAAGTATCTAGAGGAAAAACATTCATCGCTTTCTGATCAAAATCACACACATTATACTGTTTAAGAGTTAAAATTCTCCCAAGTCTCTTTATCCAAGACCTAATTGAAAGCACATATTTTCCAGGAAAATGATAAAGCAAACAGCAACTGTGAACCCAATACATTAATGAATATGCATAAAACACAGGAAAGAAATTCCCCTTGCATCATAAGTCTACCAGGGAAAAAAATTTAAGTAAGATATACAGGTAAAAGAAACTCAGAGCATTATAACTGAAATGTCTTAAATCTAAAATGGAATGCTCTTTTGTCTGCTTTGTACGAAGAAGACTTAGAGTTACATGGCAAAACTAATCCTTAGAACTGCCCCACGAAGTGCAGTGTGACTACAGTTAACAGTGCTGTATGACATATTTACCAGCTGATATTAGAGCAGATCCTAAAAGTTCTCATCACAAGGAAAAAAAATTTGAGGGTAACCATACAAGGTGACGAATATTACCGAAACTTACCGTGGTAATCATTTTGCCATATATGTAAGTCAAGTCATTGTGCTATAGACCTGAAACTTATGTAGTGTTGTCTGTCAATTATATCTCAATGAAACTGCAAAGCTAAAAAATTTAAAATAAATTATGTGAATCTTGATTATAAAAACATATTTAGTGACTTTTCTGAAAAAAAGAGAAAAAAAAATTACATGGAACTTAAAAAAGAGCCACCAGGTGGCAGAATTCCCTGAGCCTCAGCAGTTGGAGAGCAGTTTGTTACACTGAGCACTGACCAGAAGGTGGCAACGTAGCCTCAGTTTCTCGGGACCAACAGATCAGCCTGGTCTTAGTTTAAGGCTTTTCTTATAACAAATAAATCAAAAATATGCATCTCAAACATCATCTTATACCAGAAAGTTTTCATTTCCTTACATTCTGAATGTTGATCTGTAGTTCCATTTTGTAGTGATTGAAGTCTTTGGCAAGTTCATGGCCCTGATGGTAGAAAGTAAACATTCCCTGAAAAAATGACAGCATCTAATACAAAAAGAAAGAGTGACATTAGCACCAAAAGAAAGGCGAAAACTAAAATAAAAAATAAAAAACGGTCACGCATTCCCCCTCATCTCATTGTGATACTATTGAAGTAAAATAATTAAAAGTCACTAGAATTCAAGTAAATTTAACTGCATATCAAATATTTGTCCTTATTTAAAAATGAAGATTTTTTTTTTATTTTACCTTAAATATCAGAGCCATTAGATTGATTTTATAGTGTGCTGTATAGAAGAAATGGAATTCTACATCTATTTGTTCTTTGTAGTCAAGAGAATCCCCATATTCACTTATAATTGAAACCTTATCACTGTAGGTCAACAGAATCTATAAGGAAAGTGAAGTCACAGAATCAAAGAGCTCAAGTCTCTCAAGTGGCATCGGCACAACTTCTGTTTCGGTGATAAGGACGGTCAGTGACGGGGCAGAGACGGGCACAGGCAGGACAGGAACTAAGCCCCGAGTGTCCTACCAACTCCCCACCTGCCCTTCTCAATTAAAAGGCAGCTGCTTCTGTACCACATGTGATTAAATCTAAAGTGGGTAAAAGTGACCTATCTGGGTTAAGAGTTAAGAAAATCCTGAAATTCGTTTTCTTCAGAATATCACAGAGTAGAATGGTTAGGAAGCTCTGAGAATACTTTTGTATAATCACACACAAAAAAAATATTATGTGTTTCTAAAATAAGTATAAAGAAACGTCAGAGTAATTCACAAAATAGTTTCAAATGTTCCACATACTGGTTCTTAACTTAGGTTGTCATAAACATTGTGACTTGTATTAAAAATAATGTGTTACCAACAATTGTTGAAAGTGCTGAAGTCTGGAGTGAGATACTTGCTTTAGAAGCAATCTTGAGTAGAGTGAAGATTATCCCCACTCATCCCACTCACTCACATTCCAGTATCATTTCTTTCACAGGGATTTTCATTAAAGGGTGGAACTACAATAAAATGGCAGAAAATGTATCTGATTGCAGAGTCCTTGTGACCATGAAGCAAAAGAAATAATATTCATTGAATGTTGCTGTGCAAATAAGGCTGCAAACCACTCATCGGTCAGTGATTCCCTGACTTTATGGCGACCTGCACTCTCCCTTTACTATTTATTTATGATGCCTTGCTTCATATGTACGCACTACGGTCTCTAGCAACCAAAAATTAGATTTAAAAAGAAAAACATTTCTATGTTATCACAAAGATCTCAGAGAACAACCCGCTATAATACTTACAGGTTCCACAAACTCAAACTTCTTCCTTTCTTGGATTTCCTGAAGCTTACATACATATTCAAGAGACAGTTCATAAAAGTGCTGCCGGTTCTGCTCCACTTGGATGTCTGCCTATGTTAAAATAATGGAGGCTAGTGAAATTAGAGACAGTGAGGAGTGAAACTTCATCAGAGGTCAGTGAAACTACAGTCCATTGCCTGTTTTTCTAAATAAAACTGTACTGAAACATAGTCACGACTACTGACTATTTGTATCGGTACCTTCTATGGCTACTTCTCTGCTACAACAGCTGAACTGAATAGGTTGCAACAGGGACCTCATGGTCTACAAAAATCTAAAATATTCACTGTCGGACTCTCTGCAGAAAAAGTTTGCAGACCCCTGCTGTATATGATGAGGCTGACCCCCAAAGGACTGAAGATTAAAGAGGAAGGCTCTTCATGAAAAACTCTCCCAGACACCCAAGGTTGAACTGCAAACACAGAATCAAAATCACATTATTTCTGTGAACAAATCTTCTAAGTCTGAAGTCAACCTGGGAAAGAGAGTTGGGAAAATTCTAGTCACCTCAGCACTCATGAGTGAAGGCAACAGGTGACAAAGTGGCAGCAATGGCATCATCTCAAGAGCCTGGCTCTCAAAGGCAGGTCAGGGCTTGGAGCCCATGTTTGGGAAGTTATGCTCGTAAACCCTCACAATGTCCCTCTCGTTCCCTGGGAGCAAACGGGCACCAAACAGTCAGGCAGGAGACTACTCCAAAAAAAAATCCCAGCTCATCCTGTCTCACTGAAAAAAAAATTTGAAGAGGAGCATAGTTCCACAGAGGAACAGCAGAGAAAGAATTCTCGTCCTAGAAACCATTCTTATAAGGCATCATGTAATATATTTCCTAATTTAGTTAATTTTCCTTTTAAAAATATTTGGCTATTTCTCTAAAGAAGCTATACAAATGGCTCCAAGTACATGAAAAGATGTTCAACATTACAATTCATTATGGAAATACAAATCAAAACCATGAGATATATCACCTCATACCTATTATTAGGATGGCTACTATAAAAAAAAAATTAAAAAAATAAGTGTTGATGAGGATCTGGAGAAACTAGAACCCTTGCGCATTGCTGACAGGACTGTGAGATGGCAGTTGCTATGGAAAACAGTAACGAGCGTTACCATATCATCTAGTAATTCCATTTCTGGGTATATACCCAAAAGAACGGAAAGTAGGGACTCAGATACTTGTACACCCACATTCATAGCAGCATTATTCACAACAGTTAAAAGGTGGAAGCAACTCAAGTGTCTATCAAAAGATGAACAGAAAAACAAAATGTGGTATTGACATACAATGGAATATTATTCAGCTTCAAAAAGGAAGGAAATTCTCACACATGCTACAGCATGGATGAACCTTGAGGACACTATGCCAAGTAAAGTGCCAGACACAGAAAGGCAAATAACATGTATGATTCCAATTATACGAGACACCTAGAATACTCAAATTCATAGAAGCACAAAGTAGAATGGCATTTGCCAGGGGCTAGGGGAGGAGAGGAGTGGGCGTTATTTTTAATGGATACACAGTTTCAGTTTGGGAAGATCAAAAAAGTTCTGGACATGGATAGTGGCGATGGGTGCAAACCATGTGAGTATACTTAATACCACTGAAATGTACACTTGGAAATAGTTAAAAATCATAAATGCTATGTCTTATATATTTTAAAACAAAATTTTTAAATTTTTTTTGAAAAGTATTTTAACATATAATGAAAAAGTTTTTGCATGAAATGATTATTTTTAAGCAAAATAATGTTGAAATAGAATGAGTGTTACTAAGGTAAAATGAGAATTTCCACTTAACACTTATCAAAATCATGATATTTTTATACCTCCAATAACTAGAGTTTGGTTACTCGGCAAAACTCCCACCAAAATAACATAAGTTTGTTTAGAAATAAAATGGATACGTGAGGAGTTAAGAGTAGATTCTTCATGTTATTGTTACTGGGAAATGTTCTTCAAGAAAATGTCACCAAGGTCGGATTTACTAAGTTGGTTTTTTATTTTAGCAGATTCTCTCTTCTGCTGTTCATGATACTGCAATGACCCCGGCATTGCCGCTCAGCCTCCACCAACACCCCCTAATGTTCTGAGCGGTCAGAACTGCTGGGCCATGTGCAGCTGCATGTCTAAATTATACCTAGCGGCACAGTCCTTCAGCCCAACTCGAGTCTAAAAGACAACCACTACATGTGGTATAACAATAAACATAGTTGGTCTTTGTCCCTGGCTCCTGGCACAATGCTCCTAAAACCCTTGGAACTTCCTGCGTGATGAGTGTCTTTGCCACATACAAGGAGCCCCTATCGTGCACACTTGAGTTTATGCTAAGCAGGAGAACTTAAGTAGGGTCCTCTAAATACCGGAAAGACCAAGAGATCCTCTCTGAGGAGGGGAAGCGGGGCAGGGGCACTACAAATTAAGCTCTATAAAATTCTTAAAAAGAGTTGATGAGCTTCCATGTCAGTGAATGTGTCCACATGCCTGGAGGGTGGAGTACCCCAGTTTCACAGGGACAGAAGTTTCTGTGCCGGGGACCCTTCCAAACCTTGTCTATGTACTTCTTCATCGGTCTGTTCACCTGTATCCTTTATATCATCCTTTATAATAAACTGGTAAACTAAAGTAAATGTTAGTCTCTGAGTACTGTGAGCTGCTCTAGCAAATCGATTGTAGAAATGGTCAGGGAAAACTTTTCTTAATAAAATGACCTCTGAGCGGAGAGTATTTGAAAAAGCATTTGAAGGAGTGAGCCATGTGGAGCTGGGTTGGAAACATACTAGGCAATGAGAAGAAAAAATAAAAAACCCTAAGCACAGAGTCTGCTTGCCCCAGTCCAGCCAGAGTGAAGCCGTCCCTGTGGGTGTGAGGACAGGCAGGGTGGGGTCCTGGGCCTCTGGAAGGATCTAAGTAAGGAAGGATTGAAGAACAGAAGCAACATGAAGGCTCGCTCTGCTTGTTGTATATAAAATAAACTATAGGAACTCATCGGTGGAAGCGGGGAGATCAATTACTCAGGCCTTTGCAGTAATGTTGAAAGTTGTTGTCAGCAGTTATGGCCAGGCTGATGACGGTAGGGAGATTTTTGCCTACGTGATGTTTAAAATGAGATACCTAATTCAACAGTGGAGTAAAGATTGAAAATAACTCTGGGCACAAAAATCCCTTAAGGATACCTGAAAATAGAGATAAGGGGAGAAGAGAGGTAGCCTAAAGAATCTATATAAAAACAACAGCTGTCATTTCAAAATTGACAGAGGGTAGGAGATGAGGGAGCAGAAGTGACGATTGCATGGTTTTCTACAGAATATGGAACAAAGAGAACAGAGGGAGCCCGGATACCTACAGACCTGTCATGAGGATTAAGTGGTACACAAGCCCCTTTCTCTCATAAACCATCAAATGCCAACCAAATGTCAGTCAAAGGTATTAAAGAGACAAAAAAAAAAAAAAAAAAGTGACATGTGGGTAATGTCAAAACGACCACACACACACACACACACCCATATAGTTTGCAACTAAATATCTGACTTTAAATATAACCCAGGTTCACACTATAGTCAATGTTGCTAATGTCTTTTTGATGATACTTCAATAAATAAGTGAATGTTATAGTGGTATATTACACCTAGATTCTGTGTGTGTTTAAAAACAAATGAGGGGAAAAAAATCACACTTTTGTGGAATGAGTCATGAGCCCTACAGCTACAAACAGCATTATTTTTAATGAAAGCATATGTTCCAAATTGTAAACCATTGAGTTTCCATTCAAGCGTGTGAGAAAAAATAAATGGCAGAAAATTTAGAAAAAAGAAAGAGAAAATGAAAGATAAGATATAAATTCCTTTCTCCTTACACATAGCTGCCTCAAAAAAAAAGACTCTCTTACAAAAGTAAAACAGATGTTCTCTTGCCAATGAAGCAGAACCTCCTGAATCTTCAGCATTAAATAAGATTAATGCTGCCTTCACATAAAAGCAAAATGGTATATGAGCTTATTAAATACATTTCTTTAAGAAATCTTAAAAGCCAATTAATGAATCTATTCCTGAAAATAATATATCTGTTCCTCGGTAATGCTGGTTAAAATTGTTCTTTTAAAATATACTCAGAATCAAGGATTTTAATACTATAAATCCATACCAAATTAATCACTATAAGATGTATTAATTATTCTGTTTGTTCCTCAAAAACTCATTTTTCTTAATTCATGGAAATACATGTTCATTTTTTTCCATCTCTAATAACCCTAGATGGAAAGTTTTCAAAAGAAAACCACCTGAAAAAAAACTCTGCAAATATGTAGTGATGGAAGGAGACAAGACTTTGAGAAGTGAACACACAATGCAATACATGAATGATATATTATAGAATTATATACTTGAAATTCATATAATCTAATTAAGCAATGTTGCCCCAATAAAATAAATTTTAAAATAAATATGCACTACTTATTAAATTTTAGAAACAAATTAACAGAAAAATAAAAATAATACCTCTTGTAAATGTGAGTCTTTCTTTTTCGCTGACAAATTCAGATGTTTATCAATTAGGCTATAGTTCTTTTCTGTCTCTTTGTCAAACTTCTTTTTCTCTTCCTACAAATCAGAAAAACACAGACAACTATGATTAAACAGGAAAAAATGCATGTACATAGAAAATCCACTAGGAAGCTCGAAATATTAAAATAAAAGAAAGTTATCACTGAGTGTGATGAAGTTATCTGAAAAATCTATCTGCACTCAGTCCAATGCTCATTAATCATCAAGGCAGCATTAGAAGAGTCACTTTTTTTTTTTTCCTTTAATGGGCTTTTTTCCAAGTCTGTTATTTTTCAACTCTTCATACTTATCAGTGTTTAGAATTAATGTTGTCTCATTTATCCCTCATTTAAAAAAATAAAAAGAATACATGATAGGAACATTAAGCTTAAAAAAAAAAACAAACTTGCTACAGATTTCAGCATAGATATGGAACTCACTTAAAACTAAGTTTTTATTTACATAAAAAATAATCACCGCACTGGCGGAAAAAAGACATCTTGAGAAAGGTATTCCTTAATTGACCAGTATAACAATAAGATCCTCTCACCAGGAATGTCATCAATTTTCCCAACCTTAGCAGTGATTACCAGAACACGATCTAAGGGCCTAAAATAATGCTGATATATATACCTGTCCCAAGACCCTGAGGTTAACATTACACACATTTTTCAGGTACTGCCTAGAACTAGCATTTGTTTTCCTTTTGCTACAGAAGCTTTTTGAGAAAACAAGGAACCAAAATGTTGAATGCAGAAAAGACAGACTATCTCCCCTAACAGTGCCAACTTAAGCAGATTTTTAATAAACATTTCTGAACACCAATGAGAGCACACTATGTCCTCACACTATCGAAATGTTTCCACGAACTTCAAGCTCTCCCTAACTCTCCAAGGCCTCCTAGAAAGGAACATTCTATTCCCTATTTTCCCATTTCTATTTTCTAAAGTAAAAATAATGAGCTAGTCCAGTCCTGTCTGTTACAATCTTTTTTTCCTATTAGGCAAAGAGATCGAATAAAGCACATAAATTCTATTTCTTTGCATTTATCATTATTTTTTTTTTCACTACATGGTACTTCAAACTGTTGTACTGGGAACCTAGGAAAGAACCTCTGCCAGCTCACCTAAAGATCCTAAATTAATCCACACATTGATAGAGAATAGAAAGAGATTTGAAAACTGATATTTCTTCCCACTTCTATTCCAAGTTTAAATACAAACTAGCCACGCAACTTAAAAAAAAAAAAATAATAACACAGAATCTTAGTTTCTTATTGAAAAGATTGGGGATTTTATGTTTGTTTGTTTTGTACTAGCTCACTCATAGATCCAATCCTAAAATTCTGTGATCCTATGGTTCATCTATAAGTGAGAATAATAAAAAAATTTTGGAAACAGAAGCACTTCCTCTTTATGGTCCAGATTTAATTTACAACTATTTTTTTAAGTTTAAGTCATTAATATGTGGTTGCTCTGTTTTCTGCTTTTCAGTATGCTCTCCATTAACTGTCTTAATAATAGCAAAATAAAGTAAAACAAACGTATGGCTATTACTTCAAAATCTCTGCTGTTTTAAAAAGCTGATACTGTAAAGTGCACAGAGGATTACATGTCAGGAGACTTGAGTCCTAGCCCTGGCCACTTAAGACTCTGCGACTCGGCAGCACTGTTACAGCATCCTCTGAGCTCCGTTCAGTTCCTCAGGTTTAAACAGAACAGGAATAGAAGTCACACTGCCGCATTCACGGGAAGACTAACTACAACACAAGATCACACAGTAAAAAAGTTCAGTACCTTTGCAATACTAAAAACATTTTTTATTTCATCTGAATCACAGCACAAGACAAAAAAAAAAAGCACTGATGCTAAAATCAGCTTCAAAACACCCAGCACACTCAGCAACAGAGGGGTATACAAACCACCATGTGGGTAAAGTTGGCAATGAAAAAAATGATGATATTAAGGCTTTGTAAAGAAAGAATTCAGCCAAGAAACAAAATCACACCCACCAATTAGAGTGGAAATACATTCATTCATACATGGTCTGGTGTTGTTCAAATGCTGCTGTTTTATTTTTGAGTCTTAAAGCTTAGATAATCACTTCTTCCTGAATTTGTTCTCAATGCCATTATAAAATACTGTTTCCTTAGTGCCCATATAAGTTTCTGTGCTAAAATAATAGCAATGTTTCTTTAACACTGTAATACAGAATATACATGCGTATGCATCTGTTATTTACATATACTATATCTAAAATAAATTGAGTAAAATAAGACTAAAGGCTCTATTAAGGACTGAACAAAATACACTAAAAAATGTTTTTTAAAAAGTACATTACAAATTCAAGTGTGTCTGGGTCAGGCAGTAACACAAAGAGTGAAGCAAGGTGGAATGAGAACCTATTAAGGAGAAATGAAGGCCATGGCAGACCAGACAGCCCTTATCTATCCCAGCAGGGAAGGCGGCCACAACATGGCCCAGCAGACCTGGCCTGTGGAACTGCAGGCCCAGCACATGGGCCAGCTCTTCTGATTTTTCTGGAGCAGCTGAAAAAAACCAGTGATTTTTAAATAGTGGCAACAATTTTTTTTCTTTTAATTTTAACATAAGTAAGCCACGCAAAATTATATTTATAGGTTAAATATGACTTGGAAGTCAGTTTGTAATTAGTTGTAAAATCACGCATTCGAAAAAAATAGTAAAGAAGAGCTATTACTTAAAACAGTATATTTGGTCAAATAAGATATGCACTGTATAAATGGCAAAGGGACTTCATAAACCTAACAAAATTTTAAAAATCAGGTCTTTAAATACATTAGAAGTGTGTGTGTGTGTGTGTGTGTATACACACGCACATATATATACACACACATATGCACATACATACATGTGTGTATGTACATATAAATAAATGTGTCAAACCATTGGGTAAAAAAATGTATTATTCAAACAATGCTTTGCTGAAATAATTAGTTAACTACTTGGAAAGAGAAAGAGAACCACATGTCACATCAAAATTAATTCCAGATGGACTGAAAGAGTCACAAGTAAAAAAAAAATGAAGCCATAAAAGAGAGAATGTTTTCACAGTTCTCAGAAGATCTTCTAAGCAAAAAAAAAAGAAATAGAAACATCAAAAAAATACACAATAAACAAACTGAAAGACAAACAACAAAGCAAGGGGCAGATTCTGTTAGTATGTAAGAAAAATAAATATTCATAACACATAAAATGCTTTATTAAGCAATGTTTTGCTAAAATCACACATTGAGACACATTAAAAAATGGATAAATAATATAAAGAAGTCACGAAAGTTTGAACATAATTGTGAATTGTCTATCTTTCTATAGGGTATTAGAATATTTTGTTTTGTTTTGGAAAAAGGGGAGAAATTTTTTTTCAGGTTACCAGATGACTTCCATTTTTTTCTTTTTTTGGTATATTACAAATTTTCTAGGAGGGAGAAATAAAAAGGCTTATTTTCAAACTATAAACATTAATTAATAAGGAATAACTAGTCTAGAGATGAGTTTAAACACTTTTTTAGAGATTCCAACTCTTTCTCCTTTTTTATTTAATAAAGAGGTAGAATAATACCACATATAAGAAACAAGATTCCTACTATGTAATATACCCAGCTGGAGCACTTTTTAAAACCAAATCCTGTATATCTAGGCCAACCAGAGTTTCCCCTAGTCTACCGACATCCTACAGCCCATGTGAAGTGCCACCTCTTCCGTGAAGTGCCCCTTTCCACTGCAGTGGGGGAAAAAGCGCCTTCCCTTAATTCTTGCTAATGTTACCTTTCCTACTTGACACTGCAACTACCTTATCCAACCCAACTCTCCTCCTTTGCTTTAAGATCCTTCGGCCTCTCCAAAGAGATGAAAATTCAGCTTTTATCCCCACAGAATCAAGCACCGGACTCCATGACTCCACACCCAGTAGATACCCAGGAGACATCTGTCAGAGAACTAGTGAAGGAGGAAACCTATGGTTGCAGCGGAACCGACAACTGACAGTGTCACCCCTGACTCCTGTGCAGTTGCTTCAGAGTCACCTATATACCACCTTAGCACTATGTGGCCAGAAGGGTCATAAGCCATGGTGCTTAGGCATGTTACCTCTGAACCCAGAAATGCAGAGTGGACAAAAACCTGAGCAGTTCTTATTTGGCAAGCAAACATAGAACAAGCCATGAATGGGATAATAAAATAGCTGCAACTATGTATGCCAGGCCCTACACTAGACATGGGAAATGCATTATCAAATGCATTTAATCCTCATAATAACCTTCTGAGATAGGTGTCACTGGTCTCATTCCGAAGATCAAAAAACTGAGGCTTAGAGGCCTTGAGTAACTTGCCCCAAATCGCATAGCTAGTTAAAGGGCAAAAACAGGATTCAAACTAGGAAGAATCAGCTCTTTCTGAAAGACCTTCCTGGTGCTCCAACACTGAAATGATAGGGTGTGTCCAGAGCACCTACTCCTATTACAGTATGTTTCACAGTGTATTTTTACTGTTTTTATTTGACAGTCTCCCCAAAGAGTTGCCCATTTCTTAAAGGCCGGCCAGGGTTTTAATTCATAATTGAATTCCAGGACCTCACGCTAAGCCATATGATAGGCACCAATAAAATGTTTTTATTACTAAAATGAAAGAAATGTAATTAAGTTAAATCAACATTCATTTTTGCTCTACCAAACTTAATTTTAAAAATCGTTCAGGTATATTTGCTTTTTTACCCATGCTTTGCAGTTACGCAATCTCAGAAAATCAATTTTTATTAAACATTTAGTCATTAGACATAGTCTTGGAAAGAAATATAAAAAAAAAAATTTGGGTGAAGGTCTGGTAGACGGCTGAGGCAGTAATTTGTATTATATGAAATGAACATTTCATATAATTTTTTTTCAACTCTTCTGGCTAAATGTTTCATTCTACTGAATTAAAATGGTAATTGGCTCTTTGCAAAATAGCATTTAAATAGGCCCTATTATCAATATAGTTTATTTGTGTCCTTGTGACCTCTGTATGCTGCTGCTTGCTTGAATCCGCATTTTCATGACTTGATTGTTCAAATATCTGAAAGAGCGATTCTGAATTCTCCCATCATAACTTTTACCAAGTTCTAGTATATTCCTCAGAGTTTTTACGCAATCGACTTGGCTCCTCTGCTGTTTGGGATCTGTGTCAGTTTCCTGTGACTGAATCGACATTTAATGAGCAATGACTATCAATGGTGTGGTACGGACACCTTGGGAATAAGTAGCAAGGCCGTGGGGAAGGCGAAACAGCTGCAGAGGAGGTAAGAGCTGAGCTAGGCCCTGAGGAAAACTCTGACCAGCCAACATGATGTCACGCCACACAGACCGACCTGCGTCCTGCGATGGGAATCGGGGCTTTTTAAGTACAGATGAGAACCTGGAAAGCACATTAGAAAATGCAGCGGAACCTACAGAATGAAGTTGGATAAGCCCAAACCAAACATACATGACTGAAGGGGAGCATATCCGCAGAGAAGCAAACGGTAGAAAAAAAAATACCTTGGGGCTTTTTAAAAATCCAATTTACAAAATCACCTAGCAATTTAGATGATGTTAGAACCACAAGTTAAAAATGTAACTGGGATTCTGAAAACTGGAGAAAAGAATAAACAGAACTGAAAGGGCTTCCATATAAAGGCAAAGGGTAGGGCAGTACCAGATGGGAAAAAGGAGAAGAGAAAGAGAAGATAAACATTTTGATGATGATATCCAAAATATTCTGCTGTGGTCAACTTTTAAAGACTTTTTTAAATCTCTACATGAAAACTGCTTTATGCTGTTTCGAAAAAGATCTTCAACCTAAGAAAATCAAGTTATTTTTAAGTATCCCATGTAAGCAGATGAATCAGTGAGCAAGCACATGTGCTTGTCAAAACAGGATTGAATGTTTAGGAAGCACAGATGTAGAAAATAATCTGATATCCAGATTATAGACCCTTTCCTTGTTCTTCCAGGAGTATCAATAGAATAGGTTAGATTAGATATCTTATATAATAGAGACAACAGATGCAGACAGAATATAAGGCCATGGAGTGTAGTCTTTTCTCTTAACGAAGACTTAACAATCTAATGAAAGAGACAGATGTTTACGTATTGCAAGAAAAATCACCTTTCTATACTGTTTATTATAACATACAAACTGCCAGTTAAAAAACTAAGGCTTCTCCCTATGACCCACAATGACTGGCCTCCTTGAAGCTAATATTAGTAAGTATGACAGTCAACACACATACTGTACTGAACGAGAATGCAGAATGAATCCTTCATAAACTTGAAGTGAGAAGAACAATGAGGAAATTTTAAAAAGAGGACTTCGGGATAGAGTCTGGCCACTAAACAGCTCAAGGCATAAGCTAAAACTATTAAAATAATTTCTCCTCTTAATAGGCCAATTTGCTTTGCAAGTTGCTTTTTAGGATATACTCTGAACAAGTATATCAGAAACTGGAAACGTTTGAGAGGGAAAGGACTCAAAAGAAAATTTGAGGTCAGAAATCTATAAACCCCAGAAAGGTACACAGCAAATTAAAAGAAAATATACTTATTAAGTCACACTCATTTTTCATTTCCAGAATACAGGCCTTGCCCACCACCACCATCATCCTATTAAAATTAGTAAAATAAGAAATGGACATTGTTTACATTTAGCATCTGCCAAAGAAATGTTAAAAGATAAAAGAACCAAGATGTTCAAGCTTTAAAACAGCCTAAGGAGACAAGATAAAACAGATCCTAAAACTACAAAATACAGCAGTCAGATCCCCAAGTCCTTCATTTTACAGATAAGAAATTACAGCCCATTATTTGTCTAGGTCATAGTTGGAAACCAGACCTCCCATCTCCTGCTATGAAGCCAGGAGACACAATCCAGCTTTGTGCAGCTCAGCTAATAATCCCGGGGAGTGGGGAAGGAGGCATTCTTGGGGGAGAGCACCCTGCTTGACTTCCCCTCAAAACTAAGCCCTCCATTAAAAATTATAAAATACTAAGCAACTAATATTTTCACAGATCACTTAAAGGAAAAACTGATTCCATAAATAGCAACTAAAAACCTGGCACTCTTTGGGCCCATCTGTGGAGCTACAGCCACTGAGGCCACAATACTAATTTGTACAAAAGGGTTTTGACAGTGTGTTTAGGAAGATAAAGAAAAAAACCTCACGCCCCCAAGCCATGTGGGTAAAAATAAACGAATCTAAAAATTCTCTTCCCTAACTAAAATTGATGTTATTCTCTTCTCCTTGGACCAAGCCAAAAACAGGCAACAACATACAATGTTACTTTCCCCCCACACCCCCTAATATATGCACGAAATTCAGAAAAGGTTGGTGAAATGTTTTCTCTGGGATAATTTGAAAGCTCAGTTCTAAAGAAAACGTTAGAAGTTGCTAAATATATCCCAGGCTCCCTGTGGCAACATCACTGCATTATTCCCAGAAATCCTGGCTCGGTCCCACATCCTTGAGAACAGACTGTGTGGAACACTCATCTTGGACTCCTGAGCACCTAGGACAACACTGGCACGTAACAAAAGCTCAATAAATTTTCATTAAATCGAAGGAAATTACATCCCAATAACCTAATATTCTCTTCCTAGTTTCGATGGCATCACAGCGTAGCAGCGTTTTTCATCTTCGACTCTACTGCAATGCTACACTGCTCTGTAAAAGTGAGGTCTGCAGGGGCGTAGCTGCATGCGCTACAGAAATGAGATGCTTCTCCTCAGAGCAAATGTGCTGTTTGGTTAAAGATATTCGTAAAGCTCTATATGGAAAGCCGTGGCCCAAGAAGATTACTAAAGGTTTTACTGTCCTGTCCAGGTGTTTTTGTTTTGTTTTCAATTTCATATTCCCCCCAAAAGGGAAAAAAGTATATTTAAAACATAAAACAACAGATGGTTTATTCCAACATCTCCTTCAAAGCTGCCAAATGTGAATAAAGTATACACGAAGCAGCAGAGGCATCTACATTTTGTGTTTACAAGTGAACTCAAATTAGACACAAACCTTTACAGCTCCCAGTTGCTCTTTTCTGAATTTTTCCAAGGGTTTAATCAGGGTTTCGGTAACACTTAATGCCTAGAGAACAAGAGTGATAACAAAAGAACATCGTATTAGGTTTCCAAAAAGGAAAAAATTAGTATTTCATTTCCCTCTTCCACCCCACCCAGAAACAAAATGAACAACATATTTAACTGCTTTATCTCACCCTGCCAAAGCAACCATTAAATCACTTCTAAATTTATTCACACACAAGATCTCCATAAATATTTTCAGGGAAGAGGAGGTAGGGCAAAGTGCCAGTGAAATGTGCAACACAGCTCTTTCTTGCAGGGAATAGCAAGAGGGTTGTCTTTAAACAACAAAGGGGTCTATCACATTTATTAACAGAACACTTCTGTTTGAGATTTTTTTCCACCCCCCCAACTCAAAAATTTAAAAGTCAATTACATTCCATTATTAGTTATCAGACTACATTATGCAAAGGGCTAGGTTTGTGGCTACAAGTTTAAATATACTCGCTCTGCCTTTCATTGCTGAAAATTCCTCATGAGTATTTAAGGTACATCAGTAAGGCAGAGTCACTGGAGCTCAGGAGTCAGAGTAAACACTGGGTGTGGTAGCAAACAGTACAGAAGACGGAAGACACAGACTCCAACCACCACATTCATTCTTACGACGGCTGGTTTGGGGCTTTTCGTTTTAAGACTGAATCTATAACAAACAATGCTGAGATCAAAATAAGAAATATTTATCTAAGGAGAATGCAATTAACATCAATATGCTGATGAGTAGTGAGTTTCTCATGCTTTCTTTCCAGGACACCAGATATATGCAGAATAAAAAAGGAAACCTCAAAACACTTTACAATAATGTGCCATCCCTCATTTTACCAAAAAAAAAAAAAAAAAAAAAAAAAAAGAGAGAGAAGAAAGAAAAAGAAATAAAAAAGGCCCCCAGAAATCCAAGCTAAAAATCACAGAAAATAATAAAAATAAGTGACTTAAAATAAGAAAGGATACTTAAGTTAACCAAAGGCTCCTTTGCAGTGTTTTATTATATAAGGATTTCTCCCAAAAAGACCATTCACACTGTGAGATAGGAAATCCTCAAAAAAAGTGATAATGCCCAGAGTGTGAACTCCAACCGGGTTCCACTAGCTCCCACTCTGACAATTTGTTACTTAGGTGTCAAAAAGCTGAGGCAACAGAGATATCAAAGAGCAACAACCAGGCAAAGCAAAAGGATCGTCTCCAAAATATGTTAATTTTATTCTCTCTACACTGAAGAAAATGTAGCCGGTACCAATGCCAAGCCAGAGCCCCTTCATACTCTAAGAACAGAGCAGGGACAAAGTGGCACAACCCAGAAATCCCTCCTACCCAAAACAGTATGGGATGCCCCAAGTTCCACTTGGGAAAGCAGATATGAAAGGTTCTGCAATACATTTTAAAAAGGATGCAACTGCCATACATCTCATATTAATCTAAGTTCCAGGTGCTGGAGATACAACATGAACAAAACTAGTACATTCCCTGCCCTCCTGGAACTTAATGTCTAGCCGGGGAGACATACAATGGATACATGAGTGCATAAGTAGATGTATAACTGCACATTCTAGGAATTCCTCAGAATGGAGGAGTAAGGCTGTGATGAGGAATTTATTAGAGGAGATATAAGGAGAAATGTGCTCAGGGAGAGAGCTTCACCAAAGAAATGACATTTAAGCTAAGACGTGAGAGATGAGAAGGCATTAACGGTGAAAGAACAAGCGAAATTGTTTTCAGCCTGAAATGTGAAGGCAAAGGATTAAGGTGAGGAGTTAAAAAGTATTACAGGAAAGGCTGGGGCATGTGAATGGAAAGAGATGAGTGAAGGAAGGAACCAGAACACACAGAGCCCTGTGGGCCCAGGGAAAGGTATTCTATTTGGGGTATAATGGGAAGGCACTAAAGAGTTTTAAGCAGTGTATTGACACAATGACATTTAGATCTTTTTAAAGATTACTCTGCCTTCTCTGAGAAAAAGAGATTAGGGGTGAGGAAAACAAGAGAGAAAGAGGAAGTAGTAGAAGGCTTCTAGAACAATACAGGCAAGAGATGATGGTGGCCTGAAGGTAGTGAAAACCAACAGAAGTAGATTTGAGAGATATTTACAGAAGGAATCAAACTGATTGATGATGGACTGAGTGTGGAAAAGGTGAAGATTTCCCAGGGCACTCCCAGATTTCTAGCATGAGCAACTGAATAGACAAGATTACTATTTATTGAAATACAAAACTTTCGAGAAAGAGCAGTTAAGAGCAAGCACTAAGGGATTATTTTAAATTTGGCATGCTGGGAGACACCCAGAAGACTGGTAAAATAGGTTGACAGAAATACACGTTCACAACCTAGAAAAGAAGCCTATGACTTCAAACGCCATCCACTTGCGCGTGACTACCAACTTTCTAGCTCCTATATAGAAAGTTGATAGTCACGCGCAAGTAAATAGGAGCTAGAAAGTTGGTAGTCATGCGCAAGTGGATGGCGTATGAAGTCATGGTACATAGGTAGGATGTGGCAGAGGACAGAAAGATAAGGTCAGGAAGAGGAAGATCAGGAGGAGAGGACCGCAGTGGAGACTAGGAAGAAGCTGCCAGGGTGATGGATGAAAGAAAGGTTTAACTGTGTGAGCTGAGAAGAAATCAATGAAGGAATGACACCTTAGCTATACATGGAAAGCAGGGAGAAAGAGCTAAAACGGAGTTAGTTAATGACCGAAAAGTAAGACATGTATGGGAACAACCCTTCTTCAGAAGGATGGCCATGAACGACACGACAAAGAGATAACTGCTGAAAGGGGACATGAGGTAAAGTGCGGGCAGTTTCCAGTTTCCTTTTCTTTTTAATATGGAAGATCAGTAATTACGAGTTGAGAACGCATCTAAATGGCCAAGTGAAGAACCCAGAAAAGATGGTTCAAAGGCTCCAATGTGGAAGGAGATGGAATGCTGCCCACGCATGGGTGCTGACCTGTCATAAGGGTAGATGTCCCTCTCCCCTACTCCCCTGCAGGAGGAGGTAAAGCGAAAACAAGTGCCAGTACAAATGGGTTTGCAGATCTCACGAGGAAAAGCTGAAGGAGTTGCTACCAGATTGTTATTCTGTCCATGAAGTACAAGGCAAGGTCACTTACAGAGACTTTGGGCATGAGAAAAAGTCTGAAGAGAGAGGAGAATGATTGGAAGAATCATGACAAACAGTGGGTAACCCACTTCCTACAGAAACATGAACATACATTTCTGGGCAGTGCTGGCCCTTGGAGACAGGTGAGCAGGAGTTTATGAAGACTTTCAGCAGCCTCACTGTGAGATTTTTCTTTAGCAACACAGGGGGAAAGTGAGTGGTTAGGTTCACCCTGGACGAGAATATTTCCAGGAGACGTAAATACATCAGTGTAACGTGATGTGGGAAGCACAGTGCTGGCGAGCTGCACACAGGAGGAAGCTGCCGGGTAAAAGAGGACTTCCTGAAAGGGATAATGCTGAGCTGAGCTGGAAACAGGGACCAGGAGTTCTCTGGGTAAAGGGTAAAAGAAGGAGAGGGGGAAAACAGCAATTTCGGGGCATGGAACTGAACGCAATTCAGTGTCAAGGAAGTAGATGAAGAAGTCGGGAATCAGGAGAGGAGACTGAAGAGATAGGTTGGGTGCCATTAGCCACCAGAATGGCACACAGGAAGTGCTCAGCAAATGCTAGATGCAGGCATCGATGACACGAATATATGCAGGGTTTTAAAAATGTGAACCCTAAAATTCCATACTCTGTCCACAAAAGGACCAGGCCACAAAGATTGCACAAGAGCAATTTTTAGGTCATTCTCTTTGTCTTTCCATTTGGAGAATTAATCTGCTGCAATGTCTGACTTCCAAGGGCCAACGGTAGTGTAGGAGAAGACTCTCAAGGGTTTCTGTGTTACTGTTTGCAGATCGGTAAGCAAATTTCCGAAATAAGGAAAGTAGTTGTGACAGATACCACTCTAATCAATTCTTTAACAAAAAAGCAATTGAAAAAATTTTAACTTAGAATTGTCATTTTTCTTTAAGGCTGATTGTGTCACTTCTGAACTGAACCTTAAACATTCTGCTCAAGAAAAAATAATAAAGTAGCTACTAAACGCTTCAGTAAGGCAATGCTGGTATAGCAACAAGAATTGTTTTCTTCTTTTCCTCAAAATAAAGATTCCATAGAATCTCTCACTTCCTTTTATAATTTCATAGAAGTATTATATAATATTTGTTAGTAATAAGTGTTACTGAATTCTAATGCCAAGACATGATTCTTCTTCCCCCAGACACAAATGAATATCAAAACCAGGATCACTCTCTAAAACTCTAAAGGCAACTTCTGGTGATGACAGTTTCCAATTTGAGAGACAGCGTAAGTAGTAATAGTGAGAAAAGCTTTCAAACTTACACATGAGAAATCTATCAGATAACTTAAATAGAGAATGAAAGCAAATACAGAATGTGATTTTTATAAATATACATATAAGATAATATTTTTTTCTCATAGAACACTTGAACCATCCTCCATTAGAAAGAAGCTATGACTAGGCTTTGCTACTGAGCCATGAAGAGGATTTTAGACAGTCTTGCTTAGAAACAGAAGGCATCTACATGAACATAAAGCATGTTAATTAATCAGTTGATCTTAGAGTAGGGGTCAGCCAACTTTTTCTGTAAAAAGCCAAATGGTAAATAATGTAGGCTTTGTGCCACCATAGGGCCTCAGTCGCAACTACTCAACTCTGCCAACTCAGTGCAGGAGCCGTCACACACAGTCTGTGTTCCAACAAAATTTCATTTTCAAAAACCAGAGGGGAAATGGGTTTGGCCCACGGGCCATAGTTGACTGAACCCTGCCTAAGAGAATTACTTTGAGTATCAGGGTATGACATGTTCTACTTACTCCTATCTGGTTGTATATTTTTTAAATATACATGTACCATATTTGCAGGGAACCAAAAGTTGGGAGGGAAGGTTGAAATATTGGATGAGAGAATCACAGTTTGATTAGTTCACAAGCTGAAAAGAGA